AAGGATGTGGTGAAGTATGCAATGGTGGCCACCGCCTTGGTCCCGGATTACATCACCAAAACTGGAGGAGAAGATGAAGATCGACCGAAAGAACCACAAGATCAGGCTCCATCGAGGGACATCGTGATGCCATGTGAAGAATCCCCAGAAAAGGGGAAACCTAAAATTCTGGAACCCTCGTGGGGGGATGGTCTCGAAGAGGGAGATTGCCCGCTTGGTGGAGAAGATCATCAACTTCCAGAGCCGGGAGAGAAGGATAACAGTGGAAAGGAAGAAAAAGGAGATCCCGACCCGATGACGGAAGAAGTCAAAAGGTTGGTAGAAGAATCCAAGCAGCCGTTCAATGTACGGCACGTGACATTGGTGGAACTTCTGGGGTCAAGGCATGTGAGTGAAATCCTAGTCGCCCTGGGAAAATGCATCGCGAAGTTCAACACGATGGGCATCAAGATCAACCGTCTGCATAGTGATCGGGCTAAAGAGCTACTGTCAAAAAAGGTTGAAAAATGGTGCTCAGAGCGCCTTATAAGACAGAGCATGACGGAGGGAGACGACCCGGCCTCAAACGGCCATGTGGAATCAGAGGTCAATCAGCTTAAAAGGCGAACCCGTCTGTATCTCCGCGTGGCAGGAAGTGAGGTGACCGACTGGCCTCAAGCCATGAGGTATTGTGCTGAAGAACGAATGAGGCAACAGTTGGAGAAACTGGGGGTGCCCGTACTGTCAATGCTGCCCTTCAGGGCCAACGTCTTGGTTCGGTCAAAAAGATGGTTCAAAAAGGGGGCGATTCCGTCTCCATACACAGAAGGACGCCTACTGTGTCCGAGTCCAATGATGTTCTCGGGTTGGGTAGTCCAACAGAAAGATGGAAAGGTGGTTCATGCTCGAGAAGTGGTTGTTCCGAGTGAGGAAGGGGAGCGGGTCCGCATCAGGTTGGAGATAGAAGACAATCCTGAAAGGCCTCACAGACGGCTTTACTCCAAGACGCCGCCAGAAGGTGTCATGAGGTTGCCGCCAACCATTGGGGACGCTCCGCTACCACCTCCTGACGAATCACCACCTGAAGATTCAGAGCCATACGAACCGAGCGAAATGCTCGAAGCAGATGAAGGGCCTGATGAAATCGACTTGCTTTTTGAAGAACTCAACCGAGAAGATCCGGAAGCTCCTGTGGAAGAGATTGACAGCCTTGGGCCGGAAATCTCAAAAATGAAAGTAGAGCCTGCTGAAGTGTCAGCAGGGGGGGAGCCCGGTAACCTTTTCAAAAGTGAAAAAATCAAAGTTTCAAGGGTTTCTGCACAAGATGGTCCAGACTCGGGGGAGAAGCACATCGAAAGAAGTCCAACCTCGGGGGAGTTCATCGTCAGAAACGTTAGCCTGACACACCTGTTGAAGGTCAAAGAAGATCAACACCTTGGAGTTGTGGAAGCCATTAGGGAAGAACTGTCGAATGTTCCAGTGGATCCCACAAACGGTTTCATACAGGGACAAGTTCTACGACTTCTACAAGAACATCGTGAAGATTTGGAAGAAGAACTGGAAGCTGTAACAACTGCAAGGATGGAAGAGGAAAGGCGAGTGTGCCAACTAAGGGTCTGTTCAGCACAAGCTGATGGTAGCGGTGGAGAAGAACAACTTCAAACTGTTACAGTCCCTCTCCACAAGGTGAGGATGGAAAAGGAAAAATGGTACGACTCGATGCTCGCCGAGTACAAATCCTTGACTGCAGAAACAAAAGCTATCCGACCAGTCAAAAGGTCCGAGATTGACCCTGAAGCCGAATTGGTGCCGGGGAAATTGGTCTGTGTGATCAAGGCTGGAGGGAGATACAAATGTCGTGCTGTGATCTGCGGCAACTTGGCATCACCGGAAGCGGATCCCATGCCTTCCTCTCTGCTGTATGCCAGTGGAGCGGACGGGGTTCTGATAAGGTGTGCATTGCGAAAGGCAGCTCATCACCAATGGGATGTAGCCACGACGGACATCAAGACCGCTTTTCTACTGGCTCCTCGGCCGGTGGAACAAGGTGCCAAAACCGTGGCGGTGGTGCCGCCCAGGATCATGACTGATTTTGGGATTACCCAACCGGATGAGGTCTGGCTTGTCGACAAGGCCCTGTATGGGTTTCAATCCAGCCCTGCCCATTGGGCAGTGTACCGCGACCAAACAATGCGGCGGTTCACATGGCAGGGAGATGCAAGCCCGGGGGAGATGCAGAAGGAGTACAAGCTGGAACAAACGCCGGAAGGAAATTTGTGGAGAATCCTGTGTAAAGGTGGTGACGCTCCGGGAGAAGAAGTACGTCCTGATGGATATCGGCAAGTGGGTTTGGTGGTCGTCTATGTGGACGATCTTATGGTTCTTGCGGAACCTCACGCCAAACACAGCTTCTTGGAGAGGCTGAAGGAAGAATGGACTTGCTCCACTCCTGAAGAAGTTGATCACAAAGGCTGGGTTCGATTTTGTGGGTTCGAGCTCCAATGGAGCGGCCAAGGGGATCACAAGAAGTTGAAGGTGGGACAGCAGTCCTACACTCGGGATCTGTTGAATCGACATCAAGTAGAACACCCAAGACCGGTTCCGATGACGAAAGCGGATGCCGAACTTCCGGAAGAAGAACAACCAGCACTTGAAAACATCCGACAAGCTCAAACGGTGGTGGGCGAGTTGTTGTGGTTGTCCATAAGGACAAGGCCGGATATCAGTTTCGCCGTCAGCCAATTGGGAAGACAGGTGAACAAACGGCCCAAATGGGTGGTGAAAACCGCACAACAGGTGTTTGGTTACCTGAAGGGAACCGAAACTCAACATCTCAGCTATGGGGTTTGCACAAGTGATGATCGTGGTCCCGAAGATGACCTGCCATTTCACCGGGAGATGCAGCAAGTCGAAATGTTCTCGGACATTTCATTTGCCCCTGCGGGCGAAAGATCACTGCAGGGTATCCTAGGTTTTTATGGTGGAGGGTTGGTTCAATGGGAAGCCAGCCGTCAAGCTTTTGTGGTGTTGAGCACCGCCGAAGGGGAATTGATGTCCTACTTGGAATCCATGGTCATGGGAGACTCTCTGGCGTCTCTCATAGAGGTCGTGGAAGGACGGAAAATCGGGCAGAAGATCATCTACGGAGACAACACGGCTGCAATAGCCATCTTGGAAAATCCTGACGGTCCGTGGAGGACTCGACACTTGCGGTTGCGAGCAACAGCCCTAAGGGAGCGGTTAAAGGATGGTAGTTGGATCATCCGTCACCTTCCAGGGGTAAAACTTGTGGCCGATTTCCTGACGAAGATCATCGCTGTGAAGCCCAGTTGGGAAAGGTTCTGGAGGTTCGTCAATCACCAAGGTTCCGGGGTTCCAAATGAGGAAACATCAATGGGGTCCAACCATCGTGAAGAACAACCTCTGGGAGAAGAACAGCGTCCAGAAGAACCAGACCAGGAGACTTCCTCCTGGGACAACTACCGAGATATCGCTGGTCGGTGCGTATCAGTGGTGAAAAAGGTGGTTGGTCTGGCCGAGGAATATCCAGAACTAGCCGATTTCCGGCATGAAGCCTTGAGCACTGCCATTGGAAGGCTGGTGCGAGTACTGGCTGATGCGTATCGCGTCACTGAATCCGTGGTCAAGGATCGGTTCCAGTTGGAGTCGGTCTTACCGTTTTTGGAGAAGAAGAACATTCCTGGACAAGTTGAACACCCTGTAGAAGAAGAACCTAGGGGTATCCTAAAACGGGGTAATAAGACCAAAAGGGGTAACTCAAAACCAAAAAGGGTTTATTTTTGGGATGAAAATCCACCAGTTTTGAAAGTTTTGCGGGTACAAGATCATCACGGTCATGTTGCCCAATTGCACAGTTATGAAAAAGAAGAACCCATCCCTAAGATCATCCTGGGTGATGGACAAGAGAAACCTTGGGACTTGGATTGTGCCAGGTCCGATCGAAAAGAACATCGAGCTGCTGAAGATGTACCAAGGTCGGGTCCCACAGAAACGAGGGATCAGGTAGCAGTTCGAGGGATGGATTTTTTGGGGAATGTGGTTAAGATGGGTGAAATACAACTTCATGGCAAACCCTCAAAAGGGATAGCTCCGCAACCAATGGGAACTCAAGGCGATCAGAAGGAAAAAGAAGCCCGGATCCTATTGCAAGTGGGAACCGAAAAAGAAAGAGAAAAAGAAGAACCAAAAGGGAATAGATCGCAGGGAAAAGTACATCGGTGGCTGAAGAAAAAGATCAACAAGACCCAAGGAAAAGATCATTAGCTGCCGGTGGAAAAGACCAATACAGGGAAAAGCTCATCAGCTGCTGGACCCAAAGAACACCGTTGGGCGCTCTTCGAGGACAGCGCTGGTGAGAGAGGGAATTCAAAACCTACGAAGTTAGGGCTGTAGTTTTTCAATTTTTGGAGTCAACCCGAAGTGGAACTCCACGCGACCCTTGGATGAAGGGGGAACCAACACCAGCCTGGGACTATGGCACACGAGGGTCTTCGCCCTTCTGGCTGGGGGAAGGGCGAGTTCCCAGAGGAAACGTGGCCACCCCTGAAGCTTTTGTTTTTGGTGTTGGGGAACCTGGATTCCTGCAAGCAGGAAGGGGGAGTGCGGTTTGGGAAACATGCACAGAGTACCACTGCACCCCCACTAAGGTCTTTTTAAAGTTTTCACAGTCGTTGAGACGTCCTCCGACTGTTGCAACTTTGGCTCAAGCCATTCAATTGGCTCAAGGGCCAATCAACTGACTGGCTCAATTTACCGAGCCCAACTTGGAGTGAAAAGGTGCACTTGCATCTGCCTCTTGGTGGGGACCTCCGGGAAGGGTCTCGGTCATAGTCTGAAACCCGTGGATGTAAATTGTCTCAACTCCGGGCTCTCACGTTGTTTTGCCCTTTTTTAATGGTGTTTGTCGTCTTGTCAATGGCCTTGACCGTCTATTTGGAGGTGACGATGAAAAATGATGTTTCCTATGGTCATCCGAGGCCGACCAGCAAAGATTGCCGCACCTTTCTCCAAGATCTCCAGGGTCTCTTCAGCTATAGCCTTCCTGGGCCAACCAGAAAGCCTCCAACGAATCTGGTGAGGTCTGGTGACTTACATCAGAAATTCTGATTTAAATGGATTTAACCCACAGAAACGTCAACAAAACTGATCGGATGGAGTTCTCTCAACTTTCTTCACCCAAGTGGCCGGTAGTTCCGCTGGTTGGTGGCGGTGCGGGACATGTGAGCCATGGTGGCGGAGAGGGGGCCGGGGTGCAGACTATCAATTGACCCATTCCTGTCGACCTTTGCTGCCGATTGTTGTCATGGTTTCATGAAGTAATAAGCATTGGTTGAAAAGGCCGCACCTATACATGAGATACCCTCCTTCCATCCAAATGCAAGGGGTTCCTCCGTTGATTTTCCGAGATCTCGATGTGGGGATGTTCACTGCATGGGTTTAAAGGGAGAACCTACGGGAACCCATGGTTTCTACCTACAAACGGAGAGGTGTTCTGCAAATGTTCGCATCATCTGATTCCAGGAGATCTGCCTGAGCTTTATAGGTATGTCCTACCAGCTTGTCAGGCATGCATTTGCCCTACCGGCCCTACTGCGTCAGCAAGCTGAGATGTGAAGCGAGCGAGCAAATACCATTGCAATCTGACATGAGAAGCCCATGGAATGGTCTGGATGGGTTTGGATGGGTTTGGATATTGATATGCTGTTGTTGTCTTTCATGTCAGTTGGGACACTCCCAGTAGCACCCTGGCCCCCCGTTTAATAGGAAATAGGCATAAACACCCTGGATAGTTCTTGTATCCCCTTTGACCCTGCTGGTTCAGCTTCGATTTCTGAGATGTAGATTGCCCAGCCGGATATTCATTGAACCATTTTTGTGAAGGTACTGTGCCCTCAGGCAACCAAACACGGAAACCCCCTGCAACTGGGCATTTAAATTGGAAAATCAACTATGCCATGTTTGATTTCCAGATGCATAAAAACTATATGATCCCACGCCCTACGCCCTCCAAGTCCTGAGACATGAAGCTAATGCACATGACATCCCAGCCACAGTTGATCGTTGGTTTTTTGACTCTTAGACCATATGACAATGGGCCAATTGAGTTCATCATGGCATTTTGGGCATCTAAATAACCACTATTTGAAACAACCAGGCGAGACTGTTTCCGGGCCGAGGATTTTACCATCACTACTTACCCCCTCTAATAGGTAATTCATCTAAAAACAAATCATTTTCCATAGCAGACTCATATTACTCATAGAGAAATATCAAGAATACAAAATATCTAAGCAACTCTATATGCGGTATAATTAAACATCGTGATATCTAATGTGGGTAAAACAATAGTAAACCATCCCCCAGTCATCACCATTTTTATAGGTGGCATAAACCATTCCCAAATGGGTGGTTTATGACATTGTTTTAACCACACTAGTAATCATTAACCACTAATCATGATCATCATTTACCATCTTTCACCATCAGTTATAACATGTTATAACCATTACCATTACCATCTATAGTTAGCTTCATCCATAGTTTCATCTATAGTTTATTACCATAAACATTTTATTAATGTTATTATGACATTGTTTTAACCACATTCCAGTGTAATTATCATTAATTGGCAGTGTGTCAAAACCTTGTACCCCTTTTGTTCACATCAAAATAGCTGGGATTTATGGATGTTCATCCCCCTAAAAATTGTATTTTCATAGGTATTGATCCATAGCCACATAGTTTATTCATGTTTATTACCATAAACAGGTTATTATGACATTGTTTTAACCACATTCCAGCGTAATTACCATTAATTATCTATCCATTTCCATGGCAATTCATCTACCATGGCCCCAAAACGGCGCTGGCGGAGCCCCGCTGGCGGCGCCCGACGTTCCAGGCGAAGCCCCAGGCTGCGGTTCCACTTCTCTCCAGGGATGCCTGGGGGCAGAGGCGAGCGCGGCTGGAGGTGGTGATGTTATGGGGAAACCATGGGGAAACCATGGGGAAACTATGGGGAAATGGGATTTTTAGCCACAAGAATGGGATTAATCATGGGATTATCCTATGTTATAATGGGATTAATCATGGGATTTTTTAGCCAACATGGGATTAATCATGGGATTATCATAGGGAAATGTTATATAACCAACATGGGATTAATCATGGGATTAATCATGATAAATCTGGTTCTATTTCGTTGAAGGATATAAACCTGCACGCAGTAGAAGTTCGATAGGGAAACTCAAGCCTGGAGAAAAGGATATTGGGGACTATAGATTCTAGACGAGCGGATTATAGTGTCTATGATAGGGGATGTAAACCTGGAAAACAGAAACAACACTTTACGTAAGAGGAACTTGAATATCAGGAAATCATCTATGGATAGAATGGGGACATATGGGGATAAATCTGAAAATAATCTGATGGTTTCATCAAGTGTCCTTCGGCCAACCGTCAGCCAACCCATTGAAACATGTGAAAGTCCTTTTTGGGGTGAACTTGAGGCGTGGATTTGTTCATGAATTCCCCGAGCAACGGCCCTTCGCAATGGGTCTCAGCATCTGCGGAACCCCAAATGAAACGCTGAGGTTGCTCGGATGTCAGTTTCGGAGATGTGATGTAGTTTCTGAGGCCCAACCCACCCGTGCTGCTGCCCAAACATCTACCCACAACAATACCACAGCTGGCAAAACAACGTTTTTGCCCTGCCTGGTAGCGAGTCGTTCCATCCTGCCCCTGGCATGGAGTCTCCGGTTCCCGGTCCCAAAAGCAAGTGGTTCCTCCGAAAGGAATTGGCATGGGGTAAAATTCCGACTGCAGGGGCCATCATTTGTCAAGCATTCCATATACTCCATGCTCTTTCAATCCGGAACACCTTGCTGGCCAACAGGGGCCCCGCCTCTGAAAGGTCAGCCTCCTGAGAAGGTCCCGCCTCCTGGCAAAGTATTGCAGCATGTGGCTGTTATAATAGATAATTTCTCTAATGTAAATGAATAAAAATATACGTACATAAGCATATCTGAGGAGGGAGGAACGATCAATGGTAATTTCAGGATCCTAACATGGAGGTACTGTACATTACCGTACCATAAGGCCATATTTTGTGAGGATGTTCCCTTACATAGGCCTTATATAGGCCTTATATAGGCCTTATATATGCTAGGTACCTCCAATTTAGGTTCCTGAAATGGCCGTTGAAACGAAAGCCAGGGGAGTGCGGAAGAGGTATGAGAGGAGGAATTGAGGATAGAGGAAGATAAAGTAGATATGGAAGAGGAGGTGCAAGGGGAACACGAACAAGTCTAGGACGACGAACGGACCAAGAGAAATCTGTTTCAGACCACCATGTTCACACGCCCTTATGCAATCGCTGCGCCCATAATGGTCCCACATCGGAGCCCGACAGATAGGGGTAGAAGAGGAGTATAAAGTCACCGCCTGGTAAGGAGATACATAAAGAAAAGTAGTCATTGAGTTCCCTCCTTTCCAAGCACTGCCTTTGCCCTCATCCTGTTCACCCTCCTTTCCCTTGTGCTTCAGGCAGTTGCGGAGCTTGAGCTATGTATTGCGCTCAACCATCTAGCACGCAAACAAGCCATTGAGTTCCAACCTTTCCAAGCAATGCCTCTGCCCACATACCCCAGCTAGGTTCAGCTCAATGCTTTTCCAAGCAATACCTCTGCCCTCCTCACTCGCTCTCCTTTCCCTTGCCTTCCGCTTGACTTCCCTTACACTGTTACACTTCCTCGCGTGCTTGCTTTCCTTCTTCGTAGCCCATTCCTCTTTCCCTCTGCCCCGATGTTCGGCAAACCTATCAATCCCCTCCCCGCCCACCCTCTATTAATGCGGGCGGCACTCCCTCCAGGGAACGGACCAGGAGAAACGTGTTTCAGACAACCATGTCAACCATGCCACCATGCCCACACGCGCTTACCCAATCCTTGCGCCCATTGTGGTCCCACATCGGAGCCCGACAGTTAGGGGCAGAAGGGTCAACATGAAATGGCGTGAAGTAATGTCCTGGTTCTGGATCTTGAGCTATGTACTGCGCTCAGCCATCTGGTGGGGAGGGACATGGAAAAAAGTAGCCATTGAGTTCTAGCCTTTCCAAGCAGCGCCATTGCCCTCATCCTACTCACCCTCCTTTCCTTTGCGCTTCCCTTGCACGTCTCCCCCAACCCACTTCTGCGTCAACCGTGGCCTCTAATTGAAACCTATCATTCTATTCTGGTTTCCATATCGCCTCCCAAAATGCACCTCCAGGGACGGACCAGGGGCGAATCGATAACCCACCGTCACCCAATTGCCACCTGGTACATGCCCCTCAAAAATGCTCACCTAATTCCGTGATTTTGGGTACCTTTGGCACGCTCTGACCCCAGACCCCTTTAACTCACTTTGTTCGCAAAAAAGAAAAAAAAACTAGGCTAGCGGCTGGCTTCCATCCGGTAGATAGATAGATAGATAGACAGACAGACAGATAGATAGATAGACAGACAGACAGATAGAGCGATAGAGAGATAGAGAGATAGCGAGATAGAGAGATAGAGAGATAGAGAGATAGAGAGATAGAGAGATAGAGAGCTAGAGAGCTAGAGAGGTAGAGAGATAGAGAGATAGAGAGATAGAGAGATAGAGAGATAGAGAGGTAGAGAGATAGAGAGATAGAATAGAATAGAATAGAATAGAATAGAATAGAATAGAGATAGAAACCAATAGAATAGAATAGAATAGAATAGAATAGAAACCAATAGAATAGAAACCAATAGAATAGAAACCAATAGAATAGAAACCAATAGAATAGAAACCAATAGAATAGAAACCAATAGAATAGAAACCAATAGAATAGAAACCAATAGAATAGAAAGATAGATAGAAAGATAGATTAGATAGATAGATTAGATAGATTAGATAGATTAGATAGATAGATAGATAGATAGATAGATAGATTACTAGATTACATAGATAGATAGATAGATAGATAGATAGATAGATTACATAGATAGATAGATAGATTACATAGATAGATAGATAGATAGATAGATAGATTACATAGATTAGATAGATAGATTACATAGATTAGATAGATAGATTACATAGATTAGATAGATAGATAGGTAGATAGATAGATAGATAGACAGATAGATAGATAGATAGACAGACAGACAGATAGATAGAGAGATAGAGAGATAGAGAGACATGGGTAATTAAACGTCCCAATTGA